TTGAAAATAATATTTACTTAATTAAGGTGGCTCGTACCGGTTTTCATCTTTTTGATGGTTTGTAACTTTGAAAGAATACAACAGAAAGACTGACCAAGGCCAGTTGAACACTTTTACGGGGTTGAATTACATAATCATTGGTTATCCAAAAATAAGTGTCATTTCGTCACTAGCAGTTTCCATGGCAACGCTTTCATAGGCTTATTCAGACGCATTTTTTAGCTTGTGGCTTAAATAATTCGAAAACTAACCCGGTGACCCCCTGATTTTTTTCAGTGATTGCTTTTGGCACTTGAAAAGGAAAATGCACAAAGATTTTTAAAAAATTCTACGGACTGGAATTTCAGAAAATCTATAAAAAGGGCAATTTTCACACATCGCAAATTCCCTTCCGTATAATTTTCTAGTTTTTTTTTCTGATGATTCCTTTCGACGTTATTATCGTATTGGAACAATAAAAAGAAGGGGTCACCGGACTAATGTTTTCATGCAATAGCTTTTGTGAGTTTAGCAATTTCCGTAGGCGTTCTCGCTCATTTAAAAATCTGGATTCTATAAGATTGACATTTGCTCATGATCTGTTTTAGCTACCGCTGATAATTGCGTGTGCTCGCGCGAGCACCTACGATCTGATGTTTACAGACGTTTACTGCTAAGAAAATCATTAAACAGCCGTCAAAGACAGGCTCCCGAGCTCATCTTAAAAATCCTACACATGACTTCTGGCTATATCATATTATTTTCCTTGAAGTTTCAAAGTCTTCTTCCACTTCAGTTAGATTATCCTTCACTTGAGTTCTTCTTTTACCGCTGTCGCAAGATTTCATATCGGTTGAATATTTCTTTTAAATGTGAAGTGAAGAACCTTTACTTCTCTGAAAATCGTCTTCGTTATCTTAGTTTCTATCTCCTGCATTCACAGTGGCCGCTCGACTCATCAAATACAAGCTCTTAGATAAACTTCTCACAAAAGTAGAAAAAAATCCTTGCGCTGCCATCTTTGTTTTAAATATTCGTCTTTCAATCTCGTGCTTCCTTCACACGTTTCTCTCGCACGTGATGCAAGAGTGATCTGTTCCCCGCACGAGGAAACTGGTACGAGCCACCTTAAAGATTTGCGCGCTAGTTGGACATGCACGCACGCACTTCCAACTAAGGCGGAGGAAGGTTGGGCGATGAAACGAGGGGTTCCGAGCTAAAAGGTGTGATACAGTCGACTGGGACCGAATTCAACCAACAATGGTTTTTTTTTTGTGGTAATTGCCTTCTTTAGGAGGCCAAGCCACACATGTTGTTAAGATGAGTGAGTAAATGAGTGAGTGTCACGATGGAATTCTGATCTTGACCTGATGTTTCCTAGTGCTACTGATTGTTTTTTTTTCCAAATTACCCTGGTAGTTTGACATGCACACTCAATACAGGGTTTAGTTCTCTCCTTTGTCATTCCTGGATAATAGCCACTAACACATTATTTGAGGTGCTTGCTCTGGGGACGGTACAAAATGTGGACCCCCTTCTGGACCCCCTAATTAGATTAAGAAAGGATTAAAAACAATAAATACCTAGTGCAACTTAGGAGTTCATCATCAAAGTGGCATTTCATGCTACAAACATTTGCTTGAATCTTCAAAAACTGCTACTAGAAATGTTAATTCCCCCGTTTGCTATTGTGGGCGCCATTTTGTTTGTAAGTTAGAGTGGGACCTCGGCACAAGGCTACAAAACTTCTGTGTTTCCTCTGATCGGCCACTTGAGGGGCACTCCGATTAGATTTTTTCCACCATTTTGATTGCATCTTCTCATATCCTTGGCTACCACCACTGACCAAAAAAATTGTGGTCATCCATACACGGAGCTCTATGGTGGAATGCGTAATGTAGAAGGCTATTGAAAAACAACAGCTATAATTTCCTCATCACATATGAAGCTTATCACAAACTGACTCCATGTCATGCAAGTATGGTGGTATTAAGCATGCAATATGCAAAAAACATGGCTTCTGTAAAAATCATGTCTTATGATGTTCTTGACAAGACAATGTCGTGATTGTTTATCAATGGCTTCAGGAATGTCAAGATTGCATACCACAATTTATTTGGTCAGTGTTGGTAGCCAAGGACATGAGATGATGCAATCAAAGTGGCACACGGGAGAATTAACATTTCTAGTAGCACTTTTTGAAGATTCAGGAAAATGTTTGTAGCATGAAATGCCACTTTGATGACAACCTCCTAAGTCGCACCAGGCATTTATTGTTTTCATCCTTTCTTAATCTAGTTAGGGGGTCCAGAAGAGGGCGGGTCCAGAAAGGGGTCCACATTTTGTACCGTCCCCTTGCCATGATCTTAAGGAGGCTTCCAAGCAAACTTTGAAACATTCGTTTTATAAGTATCTGTCACAATCTGACACCTGCCACTTCGCAAGCTTATGAAAAAAGAGCAAATTGTACTCTTTTGAATGAACAACAATTAGAATTAATTAACTATCATGATGGTTTTTTAAACGGTCAGTGATTGTAAGGGAAGTATTATTCACTTCCATCAATGAGTGATGTATTACCTGCTGCATTTTGCATATATCATAGAAAATGTATTGCTTTTTCACATATGTAAGATTTGGGGTTGGAAAGAATTGGAAAGAATCGCTATTTCGGATAAATGACAACAAGGTTATATGATTTGATGTGAAAGCATCAACAACTTCAAAACTAAAGTAAAAATTTTTAGCCACTTGCACTCAGAAATATTGCTAAATATTGATGCAGACATGAACCCATTGAGCAGCGTGACAAGCCTGTTAATAACTTGCTCAATCACAACACAGTATTGGGAAATCTTTGCAGACAGAAAAAGAGATATCCCGTTGGTTGAGGGGAAAATTTTGCTGACTTGTTGATCCCTGTTGAGAAAAGGTCCATGCCAGTCCTACTCCACATCACACATTGCAAGAAGAGTGGACCACTCGTATCATTACCCAACCTCTCTCTGCCCTTTCTCAAACTTTCGCACCTTACTGTAGTCTAGAACCCAGACTTCTCACCAACACATTACTGCCTTGTCTTCACAATCTTCCGATATAATGTTTCTATGTTGTGCCTTTTATTTTCAGATCCAGGTAGGCATGTTATGTGATCTGTGCAAGACCAGGAAGCTGCGAAGAGAATTTCCCTCAGATACTGTTACAGATAAATGTGATCATGCACCTTTGCATTGTCTCAGGGTAAGTTAAAAGATGTTGCACGTGGTGTGAACACAATTATCATACTCTCAAATACTCTCAGGATCAGTGTTCAATGATATCTGAGCTAGTGTACACCTGCCCCTCCCTCAGGATATCTTTTGATAGCAGGCCTCCCATGCGCATGAAGTGCGTGTGGTGCAGAGCCCCATACCCATGGAATGTGGTCAACCTCTTTTCGTTTGGTTGTCACGTGACTGACCGAGCGTACGTACATACATACGTACCTTCAGATTGCATGGGTAGGGTAGGGGAGACTATCAAAACGGAGGGAGGGGTGTCTCAGGCGAGTCTTGACAAATGCACATCTTTTATGTTATCATTAATATTACAAACTTGGGAGCTCTGCTTTTAGGTTTGGCTAAATCTATATATTATCTTTTAATAGTAGAGTCTATTCTGTATGAAGTGGTCAACTATGGGGAATGATGGGGTGACTGCATAATTCAAGTTGACTGCTTAATACAGGTTCCACAGACTAGAGGTATGATTTAGAACAATAAACAACACCACTTTATGCCATGATTGACCACTTAATGTACAGAATCTGGCACGAAAATATTACTTACTTTGATTTTTGGAGAGAAAATGGATTAAAAATTACTTTGAAGATTATTCTTCGTTTTTATTTAAATTGTCCCGCCCTCAGTGACCAATTAATAGAAATGGAGGGCAATAAAAACAGGCCATTGGGACATAATAAAGGGTGACCATGACCCCTTAACAGAGGTGACCACTCAATAGAGGTGAAAATGACAGTGATTACAGGGAAACAAATTTGGGACTTTGACTATTAACCGCCTAATACAGGATGACTGCTTATATGGTGCCACTTAAAACAGGTTTGACCGTACATGTTTTCAGATGTAGTTCTCCAACAATATTATAAAAATAATGGTAAAGAAATTCAAAGGAGGCCAGTGACTGCTATTAGAATTAACAATCAAATCCTTGAAACTACAGTGTATTGTTTGATTTTGTCTTTTCGAATTTTTTTGTATTTTTGTATTTTTTGCATTTTTTGATGCATGGTTGTAGCATGTTTCTGGATTTATCCAACTGAATATTAAATCTAATATATCAGACTTTCTTGTATCAAAACAGTGTGTCACACGGTATGTTGAGAAGCATCAAAAGTGTTCTCAGTGTCCTCAAGCTGTAAAAACCTGTAATCCACGATACTGTGAGTACTTGGAAACCCTGGAGAACTTGTTCCCAAAATACAGTGCTCCTGCTGCCACGACTGAAAATGTGGAGGCCATTTCACTGGTTGGTAATGAGACAATATCTGTTGTCATGCTGGGTGGAGACAGTACAGTAGTGGCCTTTAGACCAAGCATGACAATCCAAGATCTTAAAAACTATGTGCAGACCCGGCTCGGACCAGCTCCACAAAAACAACGACTATTGTATAAAGAGAAAGAGCTTAAGGTAAGGGGGATATAATTATATTATTGTAATTTGACCATTGCCTTTCGCTCTCTTTCGGCACTTGTGTCCCTTTGAACTTCAGTCGTATAATAAATCTCTTATTAACCAAGCTTGCTCGGGACCGTACTGGAAGAATATCGGCCCTCGGTATTTTTTGTACGGACCTCGCTGCGCTCGGTCCGTACTGTCAAGACCTTGGCCCAATATTCTCCCAGTACGGCCCTCGCGCTTGGTTAATAAGATATATTTATAGACAGAGAAAGATGCAAATGAGTTAACTGTGTCAAAACATAGATACAGAATAACTGCTGTGCATCACAAACTACTGTTCACTCACTAATCAACACTTGCTACACAAAAATCCTTAGCTCACATTTTGCCTAGCATTCCTGCTATAAGAACAATGAATTCTGGTTTGTGGTTTGACTGATCTTATCAATTTCTTTTTGAAATTTAAGGACAAAGATCTTGTAGTTTGCTTTGTAACACCTGTGGCAAATTGTATATTTTTTTAAACAGGGTCCTCACAGACCAGAAAACTAGGGCATAGGGTAAAATATGGACTGGACTGGACTATTTTTTGGACCCTTTTATGGACCATTTTATAAGGGGAGGAGCTCACCATCAGTACTCGGGGAGGGGTGGGTGATATCTATAAGTACTGAGGGAAGGGCGGAAGGCAGAGTGTTATTACTCAGGGAGGGATCCAAAGTTTTGTGCTGGACCGCAGCGTTTCTTTAAATTTTTCTGTCATGTGAAAGTGAAACTGCCACGTTAACACTGGACTTTAATTTTTATTGAAAATATTGCGTTTACAATCCTCCGCTGTTGAGTTGCCATTCTGGCATAGATTCTGCATGTGCCTTTTGAGGCGACTTGTGCACCATCAGTTTTCCTTTGTGTATACAGTACATAATTACCAGATTTATCTATCTTCCTTTGTCACTGATGTTATCAGACGAGATCATGGAATTTCCGATCCTTAGCCCTCGACTTAGCCGCACGTAGAATTCACAAGCGCTAATGCAATTTAACCTTTACATGTTTCCTATATAAAATCACAAACAATTATTGTTCATTTTGAATTAATTTGAAGAATTTAAGGCTTCCTGCAATTCTGAGAAAGTCAAACTGGTTTAAACCAGTTTAAACTACGATGTTGACCCCACCTTGTTTCCGAGAAAGTTAGACAACTGTCTAATAGTGAGCTAATTAAACTAAAATACTGGTTAATGGGTGAACGTTTCTAAAGAAAGTGTAGTGCTGCGTCAATGGGGGTAATAAGCTAAGGTAATTTGGTTATATCAAACTAAGTTGAAATTGTTGATTGGCTACCGTAAAGAGTCAAGAAGCTAACGTTTCAAGCATTAGCCCTTCGTCAGAGCGAATGATTGAAGGGCTAACGCCCGAAATGTCAGCTGTTTAACTCGTTACGGTGGCCAATTTACAATTTCAACTTATTTGATATAACCAAACTACTACAATACTTGTTAAACTGGTTGTTGTCATTTTTGATACTCAAGAAAAAAACGTTCTCATCAAGGATTCTGGAATCTTATCACGAGAATTTTAAACCTTTACTGATCTTAATTAGTGAAAAGTCTAGGAGGTTGGTAAAATTACTATGCAGTATAGTAGCTGTGGCGATGTTAGTAATTCACGGAGTCGCTAAATTATCCAGTTACGTTACCAACGGAAATTCACGATCAAGAAAGATCAAACAACCCTTAGCTGGATTATATTATCAAGGACTCAATGATCCAAACTCACCTTTCCTCGGTCGTTTTGTGCTTAATTCATAGCATGTGTTGAACAGATTGTTCTGAACGATTCACTAAAACACGCTTTACTAAGTGAAGCTCCGCAGAGCACTACCGCGTGAATGCAATTGCAGCTAATTAATTTCTGGGAATCGGAAATGATATACTCCGCATAATTGGGGTGTATCCGATTCCGAGAAACACACGTGATTGTTACCTTTTATGGTAATGTAACAAACACCGATGAATTCTTGGAAATCAAAAACTAACAAACAAACCTTCATAAGCAATTGTTTCTGCGTATTATTCTTATTGTAGTTTGAAATAGCTCTCTAATCTTCTAAGTTGTGAGGGCGTTTTAAGTTCTAGCGATTCCTCTTTTGAAAAGCCACACAAAACAGAAGGGATCATGAATGTGCGCGTTATTGTATAAGACATCAATCCTCGACAGAGAACATGATAAACCAGTGAAGCGGTAAGGCCGGAATTTCCTTCCGCTTCTTCAAAATACAAACTTAATCATCGTCTTCAGGTGAGTCCGCAGTTCTTGAAGAAAATGAATACCTCTTATCTTTAGCCCTACCAGAGTTAGGCGCGTTAAATTTGATTTTCGATAGCACATGGTTAGTCAATCAGATTAATAATTAATGACAACGGGCAAGACTTTGATTTCACGCTCAAGGTGAGCAGAACGAACGACTTGGTAAACTTGTGTGTCAATCAAACAAACATTAAGCGAGTGATCGCAAAAAGTAATAGCACCTTCTTGTTGAAGATTCGCGCGCCAATCACACACGCACGCACGCACGCACCCACGCACTTTATACTTTCGCGCCCTGAGTGGTTTAGAACCCAGACTTCTATCCACCTTACTACTGCCTCTTAAAACTTCTTCTAATAAATGTTTTTATGGTTTACCTTTCGATTCAAACCCTGTTAAGCATGATTTGTGATCTATGCAAGACCAGAAAGTTGCGAAGAGAATTTCCCTCAGATACTGTCACAGATAAATGTGACCATGCGCCTCTACATTGCCTTAGGGTAAGTTTTATTTATTTATTTATTTTTTTTTCTTTTTCGTACACGGACTTCATGAACCCTAATAGCTATTGTATTTTATTAAACTTTCTTGTATCTAAACAGTGTGTCACGAAGTATGTTGAGAAGTATCACAAGTGTTCTCAGTGTTTACAAGCTGTAAAAACCAGTGATCCACGGTACTGTGAGTACTTGGAAACCTTGGAGAACTTGTTCCCAAAATACAGTGCTCCTGCTGCCACGACTGAAAATGTGGAGGCCATTTCGGATGGTAACGAGACAATATCTGTTGTCATGCTGGGTGGAGACAGTACAGTAGTGGCCTTTAGACCAAGCATGACAATCCAAGATCTTAAAAACTATGTGCAGACACGGCTCGGACCAGCCCCACAAAAACAACGACTATTGTATAAAGAAAAAGAGCTTAAGGTAAGGGGGATATGTATTGATTGTAATTTGATCATTGCCTTTTGCTCTCTTTCAAGTACAGGCACAGACTTGTGTAGAAGCGATAAAATCGAGGTGTTTATTTTCTTGTATTTCAGACTCATTCAGGTACAAAATGGGCCACCTTACAAGATTACGCCGTACAGCCGTTTAGCACCCTACACCTCATTGTGGTGTTGTAGGAGATTAACCACTCCCTTGACAATGCAGTTTTTGACCTGTTTTGGGGCTATCCCTCCAGCGGACGTGATTATTTGGATGCGTCTGTTCTCATCTATAGTGGGTCGTTCCCTCTAGGCATAGTGGACTATAGTCAGACAGCCTTTAGTGGTATTTCCCATTCTGGTGACGTAATGGATGATGGAAATCGCCTCGGCCACCATACCATACGTGTTCAGCTGAAGTCTTTGCCAAGCAACATCAACAAGTTATTTTTCACTCTGAGTGCTTGGAGTTCCCCTAACATTTCAAAGTACCCAAATCCCAGTCTGCGTTTTTTCGATGCCAAGGAGCCTAACAAACAGCTCTGCAGTGATCAGATGGGACACGCAGCACACTCCCAGGCAGTGATCATGTGCAGTTTGTCCAAGATTGACGGAGTTTGGAAAGTTTTCAGTTTGCGTACACTATCAGCTGGAAATGCAAACAATTATTCTCCGCTGCAGCAGACAATCGGTGGCATTGTAGCTCAAGGACTGTGTTAAATGTTACTGTGAAAGTTGATTAAGTTTAGGTAATTCAATCAGGCTAAAAATGCTGATGAAAAACAATGATATCTTCGTGTAAGGTGTAACCCGCAATTCACCTGCCAGTAGGACAGCCCGTAGCTATAGTGTGCTCATTATCACACCCTCACAAAAAAATTCAGACTGATGTTATTATCGGCACAAAGACTGAGCAGATAACCAAAGAACTTAAAGCTGATTTAAGCTTTCACTTTACGATCTAGTTGGACTAGATATTGTGGTAAAACCTTTGAAATCCTACTTGCTGTTTCTGACAGGTTTTGTACTGAAAACATATTCAGTCATATATTAAAGTTCACAAAGCGAACAGGTGGACAATCCTTGAATCCTTAAACCAGAGTAGCATCAAACCATGTGTGATATTCAGTCATGTCTGTTGTCCACAGAAGGCAGTTTGATTGAAGAGAAAATCACACAAGAGTATCAGCAGAGAAAATGTGGGAGTTTTTGGTCGAAGCATACAAAACATTCCAGTATATCAGGGTTTTCATAAGGTGGAGTTCAGTTGACCTTTTTTTTTTTTTTATTTAAGAAAGTGGAATAGCCAATGTCACAAGCATAGTAAAGAACTGCGAAGTTATTGTTTTTATTGTCAACAAATTCAACTACTGAGGTTTTCCTTTCAGATATTACACTTTGGTTTACGTTTTACATTGAAATAAACCGCATTTGATCATTTGTATAATGATGCAAAATCACTGTCAACTGAGGATAGCGCCGCTAGTTTGTATGAGGCGGCAAAGTAGAATAATTAACAATTCTTGACAAAACCTAGTCAGACGGACCATTATTGTGTGATTTGAAACACTTTCAATTGGAGGAGCATCGACAAAACCCATGTGGGACTTAAGATCCACTGCAGTTTGTTGAATTAAAATGGTGCAGAAGAATACTGAGGATCAGGTGGATGGAGCGCCGAACTGATAAGCTCGTTCCAGAAGGGGTGGGTACAAATCAGGCCCCAATGAAAATTATCCCAAAACGAAATAGCTGACAGATTTAAGTCAGGTCATCAGGGCACACAACCTGTGCAGACAACTCTTTGAAGGAAGAGAGGATGTGAAGCAAAGGCAAGGACAAGCAAGAAGACCAATGTGAATGATATCAGGCAATGAACAGAGAAGAGGCGTCCAGTGTACAATTGTTACATGCCAGAACAAGATGGAGAGAGCTGAGTCATCAATGCCCTATATAGTCACCATAGGGAATGGGAGTGGCCATAGCAGTACCAGGTAACCCTTGCATTACAGAGAATTAATTTTTTCAACCTTTTGGAGTCAACCTAGAATTGAACAATTTGACGCTTTGGGTGATGTCGTGTAATTCTTGTGGGGAGTGGCCTGTACCTGGCGTTGAGAGTAAAATGAAGTGCCATAGTGAAACAGCGCGCCAATAGCGGCGGAGTGAAAGACGGAGAAAGGTTTTAGTTGGGTCAGGTTCCTTACCCGATGCGATCCAAATCAAGTCCACATTACAAAACAAGAGAAAAGAGAGTTTGGATGTAAAAAATGTCATACTAAGTTTAATAAGATATTGAGTTTGGCATCGTTCAAATGTTGGAATTTTCACGGTGAAACTTACACTGATGAGTAAATGAACTCTGGAACCAGTTTCTTTCATGTAGTGTCTATTAAAAGAGTTCATAGTCTGCAGCAGGTCTCTCTCTCCTCTGGAAATAAGGCTTTTTGTCTTGGGTTCCAAAGCCCGAGGGGCTTGAGAATCTTTTTCGCGCTTCTTAAAAGTTTAAAAAGACACCTGTGCCACTGATCTCTGGTGAAACGTCTTTTCATTGCTCTCATCTAAGTGGGCTAGGAGCTTTAAGAGCTTGCGATTGAAATAACTTCTTAGACTGATATTTTATTACCCTCGTACATGAAAAAAATTATTCTTGAATACATCTGTAGACAATAAGGTGTCCTTGTTAAATACAATCATATAATTCTAAAATAGTTCCACACAAAATTTATAATGTAATTCTCTATCTAGTGTTTTGATAATCGACACAAGTGTTCCTATTTCCCATCATTGGATAGAAAATTTTAGACTGCACAAAACATTCATATCCATAAATTGAACATGCATTAATCTACTTTATTTTTATAAAATACTTCAATTGTATTTCAGTTAGATGTTTCAGATCTTTAGTTCGTGCTCTTTAAGTTTAGCATCTAATGACTATCAATTTGAAAAAAATATATATATTCCTTTTCCTGCTACAGTTGCTAGCTACATGCGGTACAAATTAAGCGCACTTACCTTGAACTTAACCCTTTCACTCCCGAGATCTCATTAGTAATTCTCCCTATTGTCTGTGATACAATTCTTCTGATGTTTCTTTAGAGAACTTTGTATCTGATCAACTAATAATCCACTGGTTGATCATTTTTGTTACTCTCATCTCTTGTCTTCTTGATATTTTATTAGTATTGTAAAGAGAAATTAATTTTGTCTTGATCACTCATGGAAGTGCAAGGGTTAAAAGTAGTATGAATAATCAGTCACAAGTTTTCAGGTTTGGGAAAAATGCAAATTGTATTTGTAGAGGATTTGTTTAAATAAACATCAGAGGTTCCCTGACTAGACAGCTAGTTTCTAGTGAGCACGGTTGTACATCTCCTTGTTTCAGAGTGTTTCAATCATTTTTATTCTAAAATAAAAATGAATTTCTATTTTACATGAAACACATGCAGATATTTCTTTCAAATAAAGAAAAAGAAAAAAATGCCAATTAATCCTATTTTAAGAATGCTACACCTACATATTCCTCAGTAAACATCCAAACTGTTCCTAATATTCATACGATTCCACCCTCCACAGTGTGTTTTCCTGATTTCCCAACCCATAGAATTTCAAATTTTCCTCTTCCCCTATTTTTTTTTCTTTTAACCTCCCTCCCCCTTGGGTTTCCTTCCAGGAAGTACACATAGCTATGGTTCCTTCAAGAACCACATAATTCCAGTGAGCTGCTCACCACTTTCAAATAATTAAGGGGCCTTTAAGATGGAAATTAAAACAAGATTCACCACCAGGCCCTTTAGTTTGTTGACTGAAAATTCACCAATAACTTATTTGCATGGAAATAAGTATAATTATTACCATTACCATTCCCACACAGACAAAGAGCATCCGTTAGCTCACTTTACTCAACCCTCAGCCTTCATGGCTTCTGGTTTTTAGAAACTTGATGAGTGGGACAACAGAGCTATAAAAAACACAAGGCTTCCAACTTTGTTGTTCCTTTTCACAATTCTGCCTCTCAAGACTCGGACAGAAAAGTGAGCTATGTTGCCTGTTCAACCCTCCTCCTACTATAGCTTCCCTATCAATAATACTATTGTAATCTAGCTAAATTAATGATCAATAGCCAAGAAATGCATGAAGTCTTTCTTGTTCTGAATTGGTGTTCTTGTTGGCCGTCCCAGATCCTTTCTTCCTCCTTTGTTTGTTCTGATTTCTAGGAGAACTGGGCCTTCAAGGGATCTCATGTGTGTGACAGCTTCCGATATTTCTTCTGGTTGAGTTGCCCTCATTACCTAAAATGAAAATGAAAAGTAAAATTTTCATTAATGATTAAGATGTGTAAAAAAATGAGAATTATGTAGATTAACAGTAGGATATTCTCAACCCCTCAATAAAAATTAGCTTAGGGCATAAAAATTTGGCCAGGGAAGTTTACATAGGAGCCAGAAAAACCGTTGATCTCCAATGGTTAATGAAAACCCCGTCACTGCAATTGTTTGAAATCCCATGATCCCAAACAAGGTGAAAGTTTCAACACTCAACCCATGTGTAAATTTGTGATGTAAAAACTGAGACGCCTTGCTTTATGAAAAACCAGCAATCCTTTTGGATTGACATGAGAATTATTTAAAAATGAAATACAGCACAGAGGAATCAACATACCGTTTTATACCCACAAGCCTGGGCTATGGTTAGAAAATCAAATGAGTCACTTAAGCCACTGGTCGGCTGACCTCCAACTGAGTCATGGCAGCCATTGTTTATCAGGATGTGTTTAAAGTTGGGTACTTCAGATTGTCCAATTGTAGCAAGGGCTCCCATGTGCATGAGGACAGCTCCATCACCATCCAAACAGAAAATCTACAACAAAGGGTTTCTTTATCTTTAAATCCCCTTCTTAATCCCCTTTCTCTAAGAGTCACTAGCATTTAATTTCTCCTTACAATATCACCCCTAAATCACATTTATTGAGGTCACAAGTCAGAATAAGACAAATGACCTCAAACTAAAGGACCTTTTGATTGCTAGACACAGATTCTCTTTATCAGCAGCCCAGTGAAATGTGTGGAGACCAGCGATATTAGGGTGTAAAAGGCTAATTCAAAGATCACAAGAATTTTCAACTGTTGCTTTGATAGTGATGTGCAGATTTCCAATCACTGGTCAATTAAATGACAAGAAAAGTTACCAAAACACCCTTAATTAAGTTCATGCCTGTAATTCAAATATGAGTCTTGTGACACTGTCACCGTATTATTTATTGTTAAATTGCAGGAACATAAAAAGATTCAAATGGCTACAAAATCTGCAGCAAACTTAATTGGCTCTTAGGTCTTCTTTTGACAGATCACTCATTTAGAGCTGTCTAAAGGCAGCCTCCAGAAGGAAAATCTTGCCAAAAGCTTATGGATCAAATATTTGGAAAACAACAATTTTCTTCTCTTCATCTTTTCCTAGTTTGCTCTCCTTGTTATTAGAGGTTTTAGTAGTTGTCATGCAACATTATATCAATATAATGCTGAACTCATTAAAGCTAGTCAGAATATTTAACTGGGAGATAACATTCTCCAAATTAAGAAACCTACTAATTTGTTAATTTTCTGTACCTGTCGTTTTGGTCTAAACTGAGCGATACCAAGTGCAATGGCTGAGGCATGACCCATGGATCCAACTGTCAAGAAATCCTTTTCATGACCCTGACCTCTGGCCACACGGTGTTCAAATAGTTCACGCGACAACATTCCAGTTGTGCCTACAACCACATCGCGGTCTTTAAGAGAATCAATAACAGATTTTAAGGCTCCGTCTCTGTTTAATGGAAACCTGTAGGAAGAAGATTTCAGCGTTAGACCATTTAGCTCCTAAGAGTGACTAGAATGTATTGTCTCTCCTAACAGAATCACATGAGAATAAAACAATGAGGACATGATAACAAAGGAAACCATCATCAACTTGGGAACCCCTTGACTGTAAAAAAAAAAAAATTATTGCATCTGTACCACTGGAAATATAGAGAGTACAGTAAGAAGTTTACCATAAAGTTTGCTGTTACTTTGTTCACTCACCCTTTGAATGTTAAAGCAAGAAGACTTTGTAGCTTTACTACTGGAGAATTTTGTTGATCATATTATCTTCATTGAACTTACATTTCTGGTTCTTTTTCCAGTTTGAATGGCAAGAAGTTCTGTCTTCTCACCAACAGACAGTACGGTCCTTTTGATGTTTCCATATGCTTTCTAGCCACATACAAGGCCTACACATTCATCAAAAGATCATAAAATGATTAGTTACAATAAAAAACGTTTACAACAAATTTATTAGTGAATGTGGTCTGACCTTCCATTTCGGAGAGGTCCTGAAAGAGACTGTCAGTGGTCACAGAAAAAAAAAGTTGGCAAGATAAACTGATTAAAAGTCATTATTTGAATATAGGCTGATTGTTTCTAAAGAAACTGTTTGGGGCTGCATCGGTGGGGGCAGTGAAGAATACGTCAGGTTGTCAAAGTACTTCATCTGAGTCAGCAGCTATGTTCAATTTTAGAACATTGCATTGAAATTATCACAATTTACGATATTACACAACTGACACAATTCAAGAAAATTGTTTTAGAGCGATGTATAATGTACCATTTAAGAATTTACTGGTTGTGCTATTTTTTAAGTCAAGCACATCACCCAGAATTACACAACACTTACATAATTATAATGCAGATAGAAAAAATGTTGCCTTACCTGTTCAGCTCCTTCTTGGTAATCAGGCAATACTTGAAAAGCAATTCCACATGATGCTACAGATTAAATGGAGAAAAGATGATCTAAGAGAAAGTTTTTGGCTTTGCCTAGTAAGTGTGATAAGTTACAAGCTCTGCCTTTGGGCAGCTAAGAACCTCCAGCCACCCAATGTGTTATATACAGTAATAGCACAGGGTTTGGATTTTTGACAAGTCACCAATAGGAGAGTGTTAGGAATTTGGTTGAGAACTCTATGAGAGTCACAAGGTTGCCCAGCAGAACAAAACCATGACAACCTAGGGACAACCACCATCCAGTACCTTTATAATGAGGATCTCAGTATAAAAATAATAAATTTTCCACTTCATAATTGGAAGGAAGGGGGAAATAAGAGTACGGCAGCTTCTGAAGAGTGGACAAGAAGAGCAGCAACCAGAAGAAATAGCCCAACACCAAACAAAGCACCATGAAAATATCTGAGCTCTATAAGCAGGGGGAACTTGGAACCAACCAGATTAAATCAAGGCCCAAGGTTAACTACCATCATTGTCTCAAGTTTATACATGTGATATAACTTGTAGCCACTACAAAAATTCTGACAAAAAGAATTTTAAATTGTAAATAACTCGAGAAATTAGTTCTCGCGAGAACAGGCAAGAACTGATTTCTATTTTAAGGTTATTCTGCAGTCTGTGACATATGGTATGTTAGTTTGGGGCTCTTGTGGTGGAGTGTTTTCTCAACCTTAGAATCTATACATGTTAGAGGGGAGAAAATAATATTTAACTTGGATTAGTGTATGCCAAGCAAGGAGGTTCTTGCCACAGTAAAATGGAATACCTTAGAGATTACATATGAGAAATGATTATCAATCGTAGCGCTTCAGGCTTATTATCATCTTTTACCATGTCTTATGAACTGTTGTTTTGAAAAGTATGTAAGTAGTTACAACCTCAGGAGGAAAATGACATTTAAGTTACCTAGACCTAAGACCGATAATTTTATGGTCAAGAAATCATGCTCATACAAGTCAATTACTCGGTGGAACACTCTGGAAAATCAAATGAGATCAATTCATGACATTGATGTGTTTAAAAAGTCACTCAAGTGTAATTTTAAGCCACGTATATTATAATGATGTACTATGTAGAATTTTTATTGTTGTAAATATGTAGAAATCTTGCATTAGTCTTCTTGTAATTACTTAGGAATTTAGTCTTACTGTTTGTACACGACCACATCAGCTTTTGCTAAATTCTTTATTGTGTTTAAATAAATGTTGCTGTTGTTTTATTTACCAAGAATTCCAGGTGTAGCCTGCCCCTGTATCATGTGTTGTGGTTCATCTCTCTTTCCAGGCTCTCCTCTCCATCCAACTAACAGCAACATAGGTATGCTGTACACACTTGGCACAGCCAATGACATTAGAGGATTGACAATATTACCCAATCCAGAGTTCTGGCAAAAACAAGATAAAACAAAAAATAATTTTCTCTATCAAATACTATTTTTGCTAGCTAAACAGTCTTGGTAATCCTTCCCAAGCCAAAATGTTTCATTTAGTGCACAAGGTTAATGCCTGGCTAGTTCTAATCAAATAACAGAAGATTCCACAAGCTTGAGACAAACAAAGGAAACAAAAGAAGAGAACAACTAGCTGTTACATATATAAGCCTATACCATGTTTAAAAAAAACCAAATTTGTAACTCTGACACCTTGTAAGCTTTCGGTTTGACCTTGTTGAGCTGCGTCATTGCTGTACTTTGCAATGGCAATTAGCAGTGAAAATTATTATTATTGCTTTATTTTTTTTGTTTCTACCTTTTTGTGAACTTATTCAATTATTATGATTATATTTTAGGGCTAGTGTAATTTTATCTCTTGAACAATAAAGACGCATTTTTATTTTAGCATAGACAATAATAGTATTGATGATGATGAAAAGGATTAGATTGTAAATAAGATTTTAATTGAAATCGGAACTACTATAAGGTCGTTTTTACTTTTAACTTGTAAATAGTTATTTGCTTCGAGTGTTAATAAAGTTTGATTATTATTATTATTATTATTGGAACATACATTATCTAGAAACTTCTCCTTGCAATATCTTAACATTAACCAACATTCAGAGAATAGAGAGCTTAAAATCCTAAGGGGTATGATGTTGAAATAATATTTAATTTTTTTGTTTTACTACCTTGAGAGAAAGTTATAAAAATTAGGAGGAGGAATAAATGAAGGGATTCCAAGAGTTGGATAGATAGAATCTAACTGGATTAAGCAGGGCTCGAAATTAATGGTAACCCATTAACCAATGGTTGGTAATTTTCAACATTTAGTTACTAAAAATTTGTCCAACTAACCCGACATGGTTAGTAAAATTTTCTAACATATTTAAACATTGGTAGACCTCAGGACAAAGAGCACATAGACCCGACTCTCAGAGGAATACTTAGAATACTCAAGTTGTTAAGTCAACTTTAACTCTTTTTAGAGAATGTGCTGTAGAAGTACTGTTCTTGACTAATCATGGTAAATGAGAGGGAAATAAAATAGGTGCATAATTTTAACGTTTTTGAGGTCACCATGCAATTTCAGCTACTCTTTAATTTATTCTAGTCATTATTATCAAAATGTTCAATAACTGAGATATTGTAACTTGTGAGCTTGGATACCAAACTTTATAATTTGGTTAGTAAAAAAGATGTCTACTGACCCAAAGGGTTAGTGATCCAAAAATTAAATGCAAGCCCTGGGTTAAGACACTTAATTACCTGGAGATACACAACTCCAGCCCTGCCTGTAGCCATATGATAACCAGCTGCTAGAGCAATGGCTTGTCCTTCATTGGCTGTTATAACATGTCGTGACTTTGGCGTCACTGATGTTACATATGCACAAAAATCCTTTAGTAAAGAGTCTGGAACACCACAGAAGTAGTCCATGCCATGACTACACAAGGCATTGTAGAAGTCTTTAGGGTTTAAAAAGTCTCTCACCAACTCTGTATACTGACCAACTTCTTCATTTCGCTCTTTTTGCTCAGAGACCTAATAAAAAAAAATCTCTCATTAATCCTGTTTATCATAAACCCCTTGAAAAATCACAGTACCCTATCATATATTGAAGTCTTCTAGAAAATATGAAATATGTCACCCCTACACCAAGGTTAAGCAACCCTTTCCTCTCAAAATTGATTACTCGATAGAAATAATGATCAATGATATTACAAGCGTTAACAAAAGCAATTAAATTTTTCTCGCTTGTCACAGAAGAAGAGACAAATTGATGTAATTTACCATGGAAAGGTATATCAACCATTCCAACTGCTTTAAAACATCCTTAATGTAATTGCAGAGTATTATGATCAAATTCCAAAACAGGAACAGATTTCATTACTAAACTGTAGGACAGAACATGGGCAGTTTCCTCTCTCTTAAACAATGTTGTATTTGTAACATCTCTGGTTAACTAAACATAAACAAGAAATTTAAATATGCCCTTTCTATTTGTCTACCAATATTTTCTTTCAATATTCCAGCTATATTGTTAGTCAAATGTACACTTTTTTCCTACACATGATGTCTCTGTCTGTGAAAGCTTTGGCTAACATGAACATCTCTACTTTGACACTCGTGCAGTTCTGATGAATGATTGTTGAATTCCAGTGATTTAATTCATCATGAGAAAGAAAACCTTGCTTGACTAGTGGACAAAGGAAATTACGAGAAGTGCCGGGAAATAATCAATTTGAAAACTTGCATTTGAATTTTGAGCATATTATCATCCAGCAATGACTCTCTAGCTGTAGGGGTCCCAAAATTTAAGGCACATTAACATCCCATGGCATGCATCTGCAGTGCTCTAAATTTGTTAAACAACCCTCCACATTAATTGGGAAAAAGTAAAGGTGTGTTTGCTTGTTAGAATAGTTGTTCACTTATCTTTCAGACAGAGATGAATATAATCATGTTTGGTTTCTGGCTGTTTCAAATTTACATTTGGGTAGTTGAGAAATGTTAAATATTACCACCACCAATATTAATTCGTTGTCCGTCCAACGCAAAAACCATCAGTCCAAACACAATCTAGGGCCTCAAGTTCACAACCAGAGCGATCTTAAATAAAAGTCATTCCACGTTCTTCGAATCACAGAAACATGAAAAACTTTGGTAGCCAATCTTAGTGGGGCTTGGTTAATTTTAAAGCACGCACAACCATTCAACCAGAAAACCTTTCAAACCAAATCAGAACACAATTTGCTGTATAACAATGCGATTACAAACGTTGATTTCGAACGTTTCACATAAAAAAAATACCCATCAATTCACAGAGTTCTCTCTTTAAAGGATTTTTGATAGGAAGGTTTTTGAAAGACAACATTGTTTCACGCGTTCAGGACCTCACAAGACGCACCAATATAACTCAGGGCGTACGTACAGCAAAAATATCGTGTTTTAAATGACACTTGTTCGATTACTAATAAATTTAAAGTGCGAATTTCAAAATCTATATGAATCAAAAAATACATGAAATAAAATCAACAAAAATATTGGAAGCAACCAAATAATGTTATAACCAATGTTCCTTGACTAATGAATAATAATTCGAGTTGATGAAGTTATCGAAAAAAAATGCAAGGGAAATTAACGCCAGCATAGATATAATTATGCTGTGACTGCTCAGTGTATTCGCGTAACGCGACAAGAACATGTAGCGTGATTGCACAATTTCACAAAAACTGCTGCTGGATGGGAATCAAGGGATACATATTACTTTCTCCGGATATAGTAATTTTTACGCTCTTCAGTTTCTTTATCTAAAATCGAGAGATAAAGTTCACGCATTTACACAAAGTCAAAAAATTACAAATATCCCGCGAAAATATTTCAGCTTTCACGACGTATATTGCTTCAATATAGTTTCGGATTGAGGTCAGCTAAGCAGAAAACACGTTTACGTTTATCCTCCTTTACTGTGACAGATCTTCTAACCGGCAAACGAAGTTTGCAAAACAAGTAGGGAAACTCTGTTACAATTCATCAATTCAATTGATGGACCTTGGAGCTAAGACGAACACAGCCTAAAATTACACCGAGAAGACGTCAAAAACTCACATACCTGGTTCTCAGGATTGACTGCCTGGAAATAAAAGAAAACGATGGAGTAAGATTACGAAGAAAATTGATCGATTTTAAAATAATAAACAATAAAGACGACTTCGCTTACATCTGTGCATCTGTACGATCCTAGCGACAAGCATCGAACTTGGGACAACGCCTGTCAACAGAAATTTATTTTACACTTCCTTTAGTATCAGAGTTTCAAGAAACTTGCACGGAAATATTTATTCATTATTTTTTTCCGAGGGATCCTTACTTGGAGGTTCAAAAGGGATTTAAACCGGCGAAAAAGCGAAAAAGACCTTCATCCATTCACTGCCATGATCATTCGTATCTGAAAGTGACAATTTATTACCAACCCGTAAAATTACGACACGCTCTACTAATTGCGCAAGAGCATAAATCTATGGTGATAACGAACTGACCAATCACAGGCTCGTTACCAGCGCGACGGTTTCCCCGCAAAATTTCTTTAAAAAGACAGACACAAATATAAGAGACTCCCCGAGGAAATCAGACTGTGTAAGGTTTACTTTTTTTGTAACTGTTTTCTAGTCATATAATAATATTAGCATCACTGAATTGTCAGATGAGTTATTTGTACGCGTAACCCTGCTTTAACAGTTTTGAAAGAGGTTTAATACCTCGACAGAAAATAATAATTATCGCCAACGATGTCGTAGTCTGAAACTTGGCCTAATTTCGCAAATTTTGATCTTAAGAAGCGAAACACGTAAGCAGGCTATAATGTGTTCTTGGCGTAAACTTAAGCGAGGTTACTGTAGAACCCCTATTAATTGTTAACGTTTGCTATAATTTTTTTATCGACTCACTTAACTCTACTCGTATAAAAACACGGGGTTGTGCCGAAGTTTTAACTTATATTTCTGAGATTGTAAATGTTAGAATCAACAACGGTAGCTCTAAATTGGAATTAAACCGGGGCCGGGAGGATAATGATTAAAACCAAACAGAAACAGGATGACATATACGTAAGAAGAAGAAGCAGAAGAGGACTTCAGGATTTTTTTTTCCGTTCTGGAAGATAAACGCTTGAATGTTTTGTTCTCCCCTTATTGACAACCTCTTTATATTTATATTTTAGTATAATTTCAGAGCTGAGCAAAGAGTTTCCAGCAATCTGATTGGTCGAGCGGTTCCTTATATGACGCTATATAAACCGCTCCACGCGGTTTATATAAAATGTTAAAATAAAATGTTAATAAATGTTACTAAAATGTTATGATTTTAGAAATTTCTCTGTTGTTCAGCTCTAAAATTATACTAAAACAATTATTCGCCTCAGGTTCGGTGAATATTGTCGGATAATCTCCTCGACTTCGTCTCGGGCATTATTCGACGATATTCACCTCGCCTTTGGCGAATAATTGTTAATGAGAGTATCAGATGTTGTCTAGCAACCTGGCTCCCATGGCCTTTTTCCTCAGTTGGGGGTGGGGCGGGAAAAGCCCTGGGAACGAGGTTAGTTGTTTAGAGAATTCATTGAAAATAAAAAAAAATAGTAATAATAATAGTAATAATAATATGTCCATGCATATCCTTATACTAATTAATTAAAATTTGGCATTTTCCATTACTGTAGTCGTGCTGCTTTTTATGACAACGTGGTTGGTTTGTTTTGTAAATATCAGCCCCGGCATTCGGCGCGTCTCCTCTCATGGAGTTCTGTAAAGCTGCACCCACTGTCCGTCGTGAGATCTGCCTAATCAACCGGTTCAACAATAGCGGCTGTACAGTACACAGATTAACGCTCCTCGTGTTTTTTATGTGCTGATCTTGCTGCCAACTGTGTAAACATGAATGTTCTCCTCTTTGTTTCGCGAAACTCGGTACAATTGCAATACTTCTTTGTTTAAGATTATTTAAGTCAGTGGTAAACTAAAATCAGAACTGAACAAACCAAATAAACTTCCATTTGTGGGGAGGGGGTTTGTTTTAATTGACACATTCTTTGAGCTTACCTCTTGTTGTCCAGGTGAGGGAATGATACACATTCTCAATGTAATAAGTTAATGAGTCCAGTCAAAGAGTAGTTTCAGAGAATGAAAATCTATTTGTTTATCCCTCGGACTGAAGTAGAGATATTTCAAACATGCTATACGAGCCAAAGTTTTTTTTTCCACTGCTGATGATTGTGGCTTAACTGAACGGGTAATGCAACAAATTCAATTTGATCGTTGTTGGCACCTTGTAAGCCAGAAATGAAATAAGAAAAATAAATTTCCGTTTCGATCTCCACTAATTTTCAAAGGTTGGCGTTTATCTCGTACCCAGACCCTACCGTTTAACTGTAACTGAAAAGTATGCTTGGCCGTTGAAAGTCTAGGTACTAGACGAAGGTGGTACATACGCCTCGCCTGAAAGGCAAAAAAAATTTTTGCCTTCCTTTCCACTCCTGCTTTTTTCTGCGTTAAGCTGGAAATACTGTAATGAATTATTTAGTTGTCAGAATAATTTAGTCTTTTGTTCAGTTTACATGAATTCAAAGTCCGAAAAGAGGTTCCTAAGAGGGTCTAAATGAAGTCCCCCAATCGGTGACTGTCTTGTCTAATAATAATGTCTAAGTGTACGTGCTTAGTTTGTCTGCTGACCTTGCTTTGGGTCCACACGAAAGTTCTAGTTTTGGCTGACGCAGTCAAAGGCTGATTCGGTTGAACGGTAAATCAACAAATCGACAGTAGTACTAGTTAAGATTGGTCTGTACTTTTATCGACAACGGACACAACGATATTCGTCATCACAGTGGTCAAAATGTTGTGGACTCACGAGGCGCATCTGAGTGAATCCGGCAACAATTTGATCACTGTGATAACGAATTTAGTTGTCGATAAGAGTACAGACCACGCTAAAGCAATATTGATTTGTTTTCAATTACCACAATTAACATCGACGTCAAATAAAACAGTCAACCATGTGTGAGAGCTGGTTAAAGCATTGCGTGACAAGTTGACGCGTGCAGGGTTGTCTCTATTCTTATCGACAACGGTGAATTGGCCAATCAGATTGCGACATTATTGCCAATATTGTGGTAAAAAGCAATATTGCCCTGTTTTTTCTTGTAAAAGTGTTTGGCCTAGTGTTCCAATAACAAATGTTAATCTTCCGAGGTCAGTCACCTAACAGCCCCCTGCTCATTCCTTGCACGAATGAATATATAAGCCGTGTACGTAAGAGTTACTTGGTAGCTGTACATGTGCAAGTCAGTGAGAAGTGGTTACAGATACTCAGTGAGAAACTTTCAGTGAGAATAAAAAAGTGAGAGTCTAAGAGATTAACCAGAGTTACACAGTTCGCTCACCAGTTCGAAACACGCAGGCTTTGCCGCTCGTGTTAAGCGTGTGATATGCGCGTGACTGTATGTGTCCCAGTGACCTTTCTGTCCTCTCTTTCCTGATTGTTGCCTCTTGCTGACGGTCGCGTGAATTAGCGTCTCAAGATCATACAAGATCATATGATACATCGCGAGCACACTACGTTTTATGGAATATTTCATAAATGTCGTGAAAAAACTTGAGCTTCCTTTCTTTGAACTTTCTTTTCGTCGCAGCCTTTTTGTTTCCCCGTCAAATGTGGACATAGAAAACGTCTCTTTACCGGAAGAAGTTCCAATTCCCTTCAATAATCATTTTGTCAGTCGACAAGGACATTTCAACTGGACAAGCACTTCGACAACGAAACGATACCGCTTTACCTTATTTGATAGATGTTTAAAAGTGCGTTAGAACAGAGATGGACATCAATATATTATTCTTTATTCCGGAAGCACAGTTGAGAGGCTTGGCGTTCCTCTGATGGTACGGAATGAACCAAGATGCTTTGGCAAGGCATCTTTAGGTCCATTAGATG